AAACCCTAAACCCTAAACCCTAAACCCTAAACCCTAAACCCTAAACCCTAAACCCTAAACCCTAAACCCTAAACCCTAAACCCTAAACCCTAAACCCTAAACCCTAAACCCTAAACCCTAGACCCTAGACCCTAGACCCTAAACCCTAAACCCTAAACCCTAAACCCTAAACCCTAAAACCCTAAACCCTAAAACCCTAAACCCTAAACCCTAAACCCTAAACCCTAAAACCCTAAACCCTAAACCCCTAAACCCTATCCTCTAATACCATTAACCCTATGACCCTTATCTTGGTTTTTTCCTAATAATAAATAAGGAATAAAAATGTAATACCTCGTCAACAATGTAAAGAAGATTTAAATTTGATGAATTTAATATTTTTATTTTGGTTCTTTTTTTTTTTTTTTTTTTTTTTTTTTNATAGTTCTAGCGTTTGCACTTTTTTTCCTTTTTGAAACAAGAGTCATGTGACCGTTTTCTTAAAGTTGTTTTCTTGTTCGAGTCTCTTACTAATTTCACTAAAGATTGTATGATGAGTAAAATAAGAAAGGGAAAAAAGCATGTAGTTTCAACAGTGAATTCACATGAAGCATTCACATGAAGCACATAATGTGACTATATTGGACGAATTACACAACATTAAGCTTGGTCCTAACTCATAACTCAAATACCAAGTATGCAACGCAAAAAACTGCCGAAGAAAGTTTTCTATATTTCCAGTACCTGTCTTGGAAGTTGAAAGCACTCTTTGAAACGGGTTTAAAGTTACCCTAACAGATTCCTAGAGAACTAGTGCGGCACTAACAGTCAAAAAAATATCCAGGTTTAATTATAAATAAAGCCCTCATCACTGGATCATATAACAACTGTACAGCAATCCCAAGGACCTTCAGGCCAGTCCTCAGTGATAACGAAAGCGACCACCGTCATCATTAACAGTGGTTGACATCCTTCCAAGGGCAAACTACTGCATTGCCATATGCAGCATTCAATAACCCATTCCCTGACTTCGGGGAGTGTCCATTTTGCAGAATCTTTATCTTGGCGTGTCCATTGCTTGTTGTGTCTGCCGAAAATTGGCTGACACTTCCATTCTTTTGTAGAAAGGCGTCTAATTGGCCACATGCTGCCTTAATGAGCCCTGCAACCACGAGATTTGGTACAATCGCAGCGTGATGCAACAAGCAAAATTACACCTAAGCAACATTGGCGATCTACTTCCGAAGTATTAAAAGCAGAAGCTATCAAATATATTATTACATAAGTTGCAATAACTATGGTGAATTGCTGAACCTAAAAACTGATGAATAAATTAGCTACCGGATGATAAAGCAAGTACCGTACCTAAAAAGAGCGGGGAGGGTTTCCCTGGTCTGGACTTAAATTCAGGATGAAACTGAACTCCCACGAAGTATGGATGGGCATCTAACTCGACAATCTAAAGCACAATTCCACACACGACTAAGAAACTAGACATCGCACAACGATAGAAAACGCACTCCACACAATCATCATTTAATAATTCATACCTCCATACGACGACCTGTTTCATCACTGCCAACAAAAGATAAACCGGCATTTTCAAGTTGACACACCATTTCAGGATTGACCTAACCACAAAAGTAAAAAATGAATACTGGTGTCTTAGCTGGTAAAAGACCGCCTAAGGAAAGTTTCCAAGTAAACTAAAAGAATACCTCATATCTATGCCTATGTCGCTCATCAACAAACTTTACATTGCCATACCTTAAACGCAGTTGCAAAATAATATAGGTCAGGGACAATATGAGACTCATCAATAACAAATGCTATTAAAGCCTTCTTTATCCTATCAGCTCTGAAGTCTACCACAGATATTACACAATTCAGGAGTAACATGCCAGTAAGCTTTAATCAATATAAGGTCCTTACAACTTTGCAGATTTGCAGTCCATAACATTAAAGTAAGTTCTCCTTGACCCTAAACGCATAGTTCCTCCCATATGAGTCTTTGAACCCTATTATCAAGAACAGAAACTCAAGTTCAAAGGATACGTGGAAACAACTTGATCAAACTTGTAAATGGCACACCTCTGGCATAAAAACCACACAAGGGTTCGCGGTTTCAGGATCAAACTCTGTGCTGTTAGCATCATGTATACCAAGAACAGACCTGGCAAATTCAATGACAGCAATTTGCATCCCCAGGCATATGCCTAGAAAGGGAATCCCATTCTCTCGGGCATATTTGGCTGCTAGAATTTTCCCTTGTACTCCCCTATCACCAAAACCTCCTGGAACTAGAACACCGTCAGCACCCTGAAAATTAGTACTAATCCAATAAGTGCATAAAAATTAACATACAACTACAGAGAAGAAGAAAATAAATTTAGCCACAAACTCAAAATGTAGGGGCACCTTTAAAAGTTCCCACGCAGCTGCATAAACCTCGGGGGCCTGCGAGCAATAAATAAATCAACTAAACGATCAAAGGCAGAGAAGCCACTTAAGAACAAAATGTACCTCTTTGGCAGAAATATCTTCAAGATCCCCAGCTGGAACCCATTCTACAGTAAGCTTTCTATTGCTGGCGACAGAAGCATGGAGAAGGGCCTGACACATGAAGCTAAATATTAGGTTCTGATATACGGTTTTTTAGACTAAGCTTTTACATAAATTAAGGCATATTTATAAAGTGAAAGAAAGCAAGGAGTAAGGTGCCGTTAAAACAGAAAACACATATCACATCCATGAACGGTAGACAGAAAATTTATTCTCCTTCCCTCTCAACTACATACACTCGTTTTGTAATGACCCTCGAGGAAAATATGAAAGGTGTAAGAAAATCATTGTGGAAAGAGGTGATAATGTAGGAAATTCACTTTTCCCTAGGTTACCTCAATTCTAGTAAATAAAATGGCTTTTGTAATAATGAACTATTTAGAAGGAAAAAAAAAATCCAAGAACACCAACTTATACAAACTAGTACTTGAAGTGCTTGCAAATAGGCCGCTGACTATTGTTCCTTGCACCATTTCCACATCATTGGGGTACAACATAAGCGTTATGGGCAATATGATATTTATGAATGATATAAGACGAGAATGATTCAAAGAGCCTACAAGTAAGTTACTTACGGAGTATTTTTATATTTATTCTTCTACCTTTCTTTTTCAGATGACCTAAACTGCGTAGCCGAGACAAGTACATACATGAGCTTTGGGACTATACTGATCAAGATAGATCCCAATCATGTTTTAGACTCTCTTATGCTTTGACATGCATATGTTTTTTTATTATTATTTTGTTTACTTTTTTTGAAGCATCTTGTAATTATCTACTTAATGAATAATGTCAGACCTTGTTTTGTTGAAGTGTATACTTTTTCTTTTTCTTTGCTTTTTTTTTTTTTTTGGTTAGTTTTTCGACTACCTTTTTTCCGGCATTTTCCTTTTCTTATATTTCCTTTGGGTATTCTATCACTCGCTCTCAATGAAAGTCATTTTTTCAATTAAAAAATAAAAATGATTGTGCTACTTCAATTGAAGCCAATTAAAGTGATTCTCTATAAGCTAAAGTTTGACACATTTCTTCAGAGTTCGGCAAAACTTTTAAGAAAAAGGATAAAGTTGCCCCTTACAAATAGCTCAATGAACTATTTCCCTCCAACCCTTAGATGCAGAAATAGGAAGGAAAATTTGTAGAATGGCCTTAACCCCCCTAGATCACCGTAAATGAGCCTTTTGTACTAAAGGATATGGACCAATCATAGAACCTTTTACATGAAGTGAAATGCATTAGCTATCCACTCTTTGGTCAGTAGGACGATAAGTGACAGAAAAGGAAAAGAAGTAATAAACTAGCCTTTCAATACCAATAACAAAAAGGCAGATATGTCTCATCTCCTCCATCTCTCGTACTCTAATTGAGTTTAATGAAAATCTTTTTCCTACTACAAATGCCACTAAAAAAATAATAAATAAATAAATAAATAATAATAAAAGAACAAAAATAGAAAACAATGCAAAACAAAACAAAAAAGGAGCTAAGTGCTTAGTAGTTCCTCGTCCTTCGCTTCCCGGCACAAAATTATGGACTAGTAGTTCATAGTGTACTAACTCATTACGTAAGTAAGATTGTGTATACGCACAAACCTAGGCTTACAATTTACAATACCATACAATTGCTAAAATTACAAAGGAGGAAAAATATCAAAGTAGAATGTACGATAGACTATTAACAATAATTATGTAAGACATTTAGCAGACAGAAAAGCATCAAAAAATGAATTAATTGTTTCAAATGTTAAGGAACCCCAAAATAGGGTCCCAAGCCCCCGGGAGGTTGGAAACATTTCATGTTCTGGGACCTACCTTTAACACAGAGAGGTATGAATCTGAAAGGCCTGTGTATTTACCAACCATAGCAATTTTTACCTATATATTTCCACAGTTTGAAACAAAAAAATTGAATGAATATTTTTATTCTCAAAAAAAAGTAGAAGCATGGGATAAAGTTTAACAAATTAGATAAGTGCTCAAGACCCACGGAATCATGTAACTTATCATATAACCTTGTCCTAGACGTCCATTCATCTAAATCTGGTTCTCCTGCTACACTAGAAATTTGTAAATGTTAGCTGACCAATGTCTTTAGTGGAAATACATCCAAGAGATTCAGACAGATAAGATGCAGGGACGTGAGATAAAGATTTTATGTCGATAAAAAAAAAATACACTTGCAATACCAACCTGTGAAGATTCAGTCCTTTTAAGAGTGCATTATGAGCCTTCTGGTCCTGTTGAAGAAAAATGTTCTAGTCTTTCCTCGCATAAAAAGAAATAAGAGTAAAGAAATCACTTACTCTTAATAGCAGAGGAATATGCCAAATATTTGGCACATCATAGAGAGTGATTATATTCTCTGCCTGTCAAGAACCCAATTCATTAGTAACAAATGCAAAGTATCAAATGAGCATGTAGAAGAACATCATCATATAGTACCGGCACATGACAAAATTGAGCAAGTTTTTCCTTAACATTTTCATCGAGTTCCTGTTAAAGCCAAATAAAAGTAAGATCATGAGCTAACTGTAGTCCCAAGCCTCTAAAGCAAGTAAAAGGGAAAGGGAAAACCTTTGAACTGCGGCAAGCTAAAATATTTGGGACCAATCCCAGTCCTCTTAGACCTCGAACACTGTGTTGAGTAGGCTTAGTTTTCTATGGCTCAAAATTAATAAAAAACATTCAGGCAAATCAGCCATCGTTAAAAGATAACGCATAAGCTTGTGCCTCATTTTTCTCTCTTTTCTTTGACATATAGTACAGTGGGTAAGAGAACATGTATACAGAAGGCACATTTTCCATGCATACCTGTTCACCAACTACATTGAGGACCGGAACAAGGCTAACATGAACCAAGCAGAAATTTCCAGGACCTAAAACAAGACATGTTAGACAAACTGAACACAAGGCAGGTTTCTCAAACAAAATTGAGATAAGATTAACTTGGCTCATCAAAGAAGCTGATATATAAACAACTCTGACCTACGCGGTACAAAAATTGGCCAAGTGCTTCAATAAATGGCATCGATTCAATATCTCCTGCATGAAGTAAAACAAAAACAGAGGCTAGAGGCTCTAGTTTTCTACACACACACACAAAAAAAGAAAAAAAAGGAGTACGTTTCTCAAGAAACATGCTTTGAACTTATACCTATGGTGCCACCCAATTCAATTACACACACATCAGCTGGACCTTCTTTACTATCAACTGGTATCATTGCTACACGCTCAATCCATTCTTGGATGGCATCTGTAATGTGTGGAACAACCTAATAAAAATAGAAATGAAATCAGTGTGCCATTAACATTTCACTATAGAACTGAGAACAGAGACAACACAAAGTCTAGCAGACCTGAACAGTCTTTCCCAGGTAATCACCTCTTCTCTCCTTGTCAATCACAGACTGTCAAAATATCAAGGGAGAAAGTAAAACTAGTAACGATATATGCACAACTTCACAAACATGAAGACAAGCGAACACAGAGAGGCAATGCACCTGGTATATTTTTCCGGTTGTGATGTTGTTATCACGAGTTAGTGTGATGTCCAAAAATCGTTCATAGTTTCCAAGGTCCAGGTCAACCTAAAGAAAGTAGTCATTCATGTTACATAAAACAGAGAAGCTTCATAGAAGGTTAGGTTAAAGTCCAACCACGATTAATATCTGTACAAAACGATTACAAACTGATAATCAAGAAGCCAAAACTTTAACAGTGGACTCTACTTGGTAATATTTAAAAAATGGAAGTAAAATAAGAACAAAGTATCCCCCAACTCACTCATTGAAATACATCAAATTTTTGAAAAACAGGGCAAACGGCTTTATATACATGGAAAACATGATATGAAATTATTGGAGGGTCATGCATGCTAAAACAGATAAATGCATCAATTTACCTCACCACCGTCATCCAAGACGAACACTTCGCCGTGCTCAAAAGGAGACATGGTACCAGCATCTGTATTTAGATAAGGATCTGCAGACATGAGCAAAACACATAACATTATTTAACTACTAACACTAAATTACCCGCCAAATACATGAAAAGACAATGCATATGCAACCGCAAACTGACAAACAACATTTCTGACATCGAAAATACCAATCTTAATGGAAGTAACTCGAAGACCGCAAGCTTTAAGGAGGACTCCGATACTGCTAGCAGTGACCCCTTTGCCCAGTCCACTAACAACACCTCCCGTAACCAATACGTACTTCATATTCCTCAGGTTCTTAAAATCCAATAGTTGGAGTATGTAAGCAGTTCTGAGGATGTGGAAGAAGAGGAATACAAACAGGGATATAAAGGGTCAGGGAATATTGATATTAGAGAAATATAATTAGGTTAAGACGGAACGGAGAGATTAACGAGAAATCGACCTCGTTCACAGTGACGGTCTTTACAAAGCTCCAGCCCAGCCTCTTACCGCAGTCTTCTTTTGCTCGTGCATTTTCTTTGTCTCCGGAAAACTTTCTGAAATTGTTGAAACTCTTTGTATGTAAATATATATATATACTATTTTGGGTTATCTTGAAATGATGAATCAACCTAGGAATGGGATAAGCACGAAAGCTGGCGCCCGGTCAGGTGGAAGGATAAGAAGATAGGAGTGTTCAAACTGTAAAGGAAGACACTGGTTGAAATAGGCGTATCTGTATTGTTCTAAAGGCCGCGGAAAAACCTTTCCTCCTGGCTTCCTGTGCCTCCCTGGCTTTTCTCTCTTGGGCGGCGGGTGGCTGGGGAAGAACAACAACTCATTTCAACCAACAAAAATTACGTATAAATATGGAACGCCAGAACGCATCAACAACATTTTTCTTTTTCTTTTTCTTTTTTCTCTCCCACGCTTTTGTGTATTAAGTTTCGAATTAATAAAAATACTTATAAAACTTAAAAAATAATAATAATAAATAAACTAATCAGTAATATTCTTAAATATTTTTTTAAAAAAACAGTATAAAGTATTAATACGGTTAAATTTTTTAAAAGTTCCTAATTACTTTCCATCATTATTATGAACGGAATCATAAATATAACATACTATTAGTGTATTAAAAAAAAATTATATGAGAAAGGAAAATGTTTATCTATAACCAATATCATCTCTTTTCAATTTCGTCTATCTCGTCTCCTTCAATTTACTCAACAATTTATTATTTGTTATTTTATTTTTTTAGTTCTCCAAATTTAAATTTTAGGATGATTATTTTTCAGGGTAAGGATTTCAAATGTGTGTGTCGGGCACCAAACAATCAATAGTTATTGACGAGTGATTCTTGAAAATAGTTCTTGAAGAGTAGATTACATCTCGTGTGTTTTGAGCAATCAACCATCAGGTTCCACTATTTTGATATTTTCTATACGTTTTTTTATCCAACTTAATTATTTCGAATTTTGTTAGAGCATACTCTTGAACATGATTTTATGAAAGTATATTTTTCATATACTTTCGATTATAAACTTTCAATTATATTTTCATATACTTTTCATTTAAGCAACATCAAAAATATTTTAAGAAAGGCAAATTAAAAGTATAATATACTAGAAATAACGACTCTTCACACTGATATGATATTATTCACTTTGTCCATATGTTCTTATAACTTTGCTTTGGGCTCCCAAAATGTCTCATACCAATTAAGATGTATTCCTTTGCTTATAAATATATTATCATAATCATTTTCTAAATTAGCCTAACGTGGAACTCACTCCCAATCATACAACATGAAATTGAGGATTAAAAAGCAATCCATTATTAAGTGCAGAGTTACAAACAGTAAAAAAAAATAGCATAGGTGAAGTGATGCAGGGGTATTAAATAACTGCACATAATGTTAAACTAAGAAAGTGAAAAGCTGTAGGCCTACTTGGAGAATTTGAATAAGTCGGCGGCAGAGGGAAGAGGATAAGGGTAGGGAAATGGAAATGGAAATGGAAATGAAAACATTGTGGAGTTGGGATGTCCCACACTAAGCTGATCTGGAAGCGCAGATTTGGTACGGGATTGGTGATCCGAAGCAAGCAGCCTACTCAAGAATGACCAATCTGTGTTCAACCGCTCCTGTTGCACACCCCCGCAATTTAGCCTCCACATATTTTGAGGACACTCTACGGAGATGGGTGTTGCCACTGCTGAGTCCGGACTAAACAGCTGCGGCAGCTGCATGCACCCATCGAACCCATACTCATTATATGGCTGCTGCGTATGGTTATTGCTTTTCGGCTCTCCTATTTCTGCACCCATCAAGGCGGCGGAACCGGAACTACTGCCCTCCACCTTCGTATGCGCATGGTACTCCAAACCCTCTGCCTTCTGACTTTTCTTCTTGAAAACCCTGCACACCACCCACCCATCTTCCTGCGTCTATCAAATATGAGTTAATAAGCTTAGACCTAAAAAATTGATTAAAAATATTTAGTAGATATTGATTTTGAAAGTTTAGGAAATCGGAAGATTGGTTAATAGTTGCGAGATCAGGGGTACAATCTCCACATTCAAGTTATGTTATTTCTACAGCAAACAAAAAGAAAATTAATAAAAAGGCCCTTCCGATCAAAAACTCTCCCTTTCTTCAGGTTCAGTTATTTGTGTTTCTACATATTTCAATTGGAGTAACTTCATTAGTAAAATACATTTAAATACCCACATAACTGAATATGGGAAGGAAATAGGATGATCATTATTATTATTATTACTATTATTATTTGTATGTACCTGAATTTCGGGATCGTGATCTTCGAGGCGATATTCATGCATGATCCAATCAGTCTTTTGGCCATGAGGAGCACGACCGGTATAGAACACAAGTGTCTTCCTCATGCCAATCCTCTTGGAATTGGCCATGTGAATGCCTTTGTCTCTCCCGGTTGCCTTCCAGAATCCAGCACTGGTGGCTCTATTAGTTCGAGTTCCAGTTGGGTATTTCTTGTCCTTATGGCTAAAGAAATACCACTCGTTCTGTTGTCCAGATCCAATTCTACATTTATCTGAACCCACCCCAGAAAAAAATAAAAAATAAAAAATAAAAATCAGTTGTTTCTCAAATCAAAGCTTAATAAATTGGTAAGTATGAAGAATAATGAATGGCCAACCTTTGAGGTCCCAAGGCTCCAGTTTGTTTAGATCCACTTCTCTGATAACATCAAGCTCAATGGCTTCGTATGAAACCTTCTTCCTGAGGTAGTAATAAAGAAGCTCCTCGTCTGTTGGATGAAACCTAAAGCCTGGGGGAACACTGAAGTGTTGGCCATTTTCGGGCATCATCGTCCCTTGATGGGGTTTTGTCTGTGTATTCAAAAAATGATGAACAAGCAGTTATAACAAGCTTGCATTAATGGAGCAAATAGTTAAATGCAAGCTTGAAAGGGCAAACCTGGGAGAGGAAGAAGAGAAAGTAATTATCCTTTGCAGATTGGTATTGAGAAGTTGCCTTCAACGGCACGACGTGAATATAAAAAGGGAGAGAGAGAGAAAGAAACGTTAGCGCAAAGGTTAAGATTGACTGACAACCGATCAAAGATGGGCACAGAAATAAAGGATAAATAATTATTATAAAATTTGCATGGAATTATTTTATTTTCTTTTATTTGGTGGATTGAATGGTATTAGAAGAATATGATTAGGGCATGAGCAGGCTTTTCGTAAGATGTCTGTTGAATGGGGAACCTTACGCCCAAAAAACATCAAGAAAATCTGCACAACTCTCAATTTAATACTTTTATTGGCATTTTCTTCCACAATTCTTCACCTCCCTACCTCTATGCTTCTCTATCTTTTAATTAAATAAATATGTTAATTTTTATTACAAAATTTTTACATACCATTCTTTAGACCCTTTTGGATAACAATTTTGGTTTTGGTGTTCCACTTTTTGATAATTAGCTTTTTTTTCGTCTAAATGTTTCTCACTTTATACAACAATTTTCAAATCTTAAAGCTATTAGTAGAAAATAAGAGGCCGTTGTTTAAAATGTAAAATTTTAAATAAAACTTTATCTTCAAATTTAAGATTTTGGATCCAACAATCATCTCTTTGAACAAAATATTACATTTGAACAAAGATCTATTCATCTACCAATGCAGTGTTGATAGAGTCATATGGACTTGCTACTCAAGCACTTTTTGATTGATACGGGGATTCATCCACAATGTCAATAATGAGGCTTCATCAATTCTCTTTGTTTGGAATTTGAGAATTTTTTTTGGGTAGGTTTAGACCATGACTATGATATCAATTGAAAAGGATAGCAGACCTCCACATATTTCTACTATGATATGATATTGTACACTTGTGCATAAAATCCTTGTGGTGTTGTTCTTCGAACAATCTAAAAAACCACATACCAACGAAGACAATTGTTTTTATATTATGGATCTCTCTTTTCTGACAATTGGGACACTTTGTTTGCACCTAACTGTATGGCTCTAGGTTGTAACTCGATTAAAGAACTTGTTGTAGAGATATTAGCTTGGGCTGGCCTTGAGGAGGGTTTTTCATGTAAAAATTGTTAAATCTCCTGTGCTTGAGATAATTGATCAGTTATATAAATTATTTCTATCATAAATTCATAACACATAATAATTGAAGGTAGTAGTTCCATACACTGTCATAGTAGAAGGTAGGTCCACTAAACCAGCACATTTCATGCACAATTTAAACAAAATTAGAACCATTAACCACCGTCTCTGCCACGTTACCCTGATAAAAGTGAATATTTATATATCCTTCTTGGTTTCGGCCACTAAAGGACAAACTAGAAAGGTGTTTTTTCTTTATAAGGAAGGGTGATTAAGTATTAATGGTGTTTTTGACCCGGAGAAGAAAGTGATTGCGTGGGAATCCCTTCGAGTCTGAACCCAATGGATTGAGGCAACGGAGGCCTTGAATTGTGCATTCTAAGCACATGCAATGCAAAGCATTGACCAGTGGAGGGGTCAGGATTTGGACTTCCCCCATGATTTTGCTCTTATCACTTCTACAAACATAATATAAGAAACAGTAACTCAACAATTAAGAACATTAGCTAGTAGGGCCTCCACTCTAATTTCGTCCATCAAATCAAAGAGCGGGTTGTAGATCATCAGAGGCGCTCATAGGGCCTCCACTCCTTCACACTGGCTCTTAAAGGCTCCGGAACAACAGCGGACCAGGACTCCAATTCTGGAAATGGTCCAGTCAGAGCAACATAATTCTCACCCTTCTCTTTGGGTAGTTTTTTCCAACACAACTGCAATTAACAAGTATAAGGTGAAATTGTTAACTACCACAGGGCAATCGTATATGTATCCACATTTCTAACTGCAAAATACCAAATGATTATGAAACCATACTAACTGAATCATATTTTGGCATCATCACTATGAAAATTCCGTATGGATTCAATTTTCTTATCCATATACCCTCACAATTATCATGAATAAAGCCTTGAATTCCACTTCATCATTGCTTCTAGCTACCGTACTTTTATTTTTGCTTCGTTGGGTAAGTAGATCCTTCAACAAATGAGCAATAAGCAGAAGTAGATATTCTATCCGTGGAGCTACCTACCAATCAGTATCAATGTAAATTTCATTAAATGGGTCATGCTTCTTAAAAACAATGTCTTTGTAAATTGCTTCAAAGTGAGTTCGTCCCAGAGTACGCATGTAATTGATTGCCATAATAATTGCAAAAGCAATGTGTAGATGAGTGCAAGATTAATAAGTAGTTCCATATTTTCCTCGTTTTTCACCCTTCTTCGTTGCATCTTGCGGCTTTAAATTTGATTCAATAGAAGTTCTTGTTGTTCTATAACCAAGTAAGCTGGTCTCATTAAGCAAATCAATAATTTACTTAAGTCTTTGATTTGTAATTCGTTTGCTATTTTTTTCTCCAAACTATTTAGTCTAGCCTCATCATAAACTACTAGGATGATGTCATCAACATACATTATTAAAACAATCATATTATCATTTATAGTGTCTATAGAAAATGGTATGATCTACTTGACCCCGAAAAAAATCGAATGCATGTGGCTAAGTGTCACGGTTGTACATTTTTAACTGTGCGACATTGTGATCTTGACACGCTCACGACAAGTCTGGAGGAAAGTTCAAGCCCCATATTCATTTTTCGCTTGACTTCATGGCTTTGTCAAACCTTAGGTGAGGTTTGTCTTCGCCAACAAATACAACTCATGCAGAATCTAAGCGTGTTCGACTACACATGCCACTTGTACGTGCATGTTCAATCTTCTACAACCCAACCGACTTGCCTCTACATTAGGCTAAGTCATCCGGTTTGTCCTTTTGGTTCCCAATTAACATGGTCATCATATCTTGATGTCATCCCAAGTCCCAGGATGTCATCGGCCAACTTAGCTTGCACCGTCATGCTCATCGAGAACGGACCCGTGTGTCATTCAAAACATCAGGGCATCCCTAACATCCATCCATCCAGGTTCTATCGAGGCATTGGACCCTCCCGTGTCTATGTCATACCATTTAAGGACTCCATACCCAATGGTGGATGCATATACCAACCTCTGACACATTGGCTGGGGCGAAATGTCAGTGCACCTGTGCCGTTTAACAGTATTCTTAAAAGATCCATTTCAAAGAAAGTCTCTTGAGACACTCGTCTTGCAATACTCGCCCTCACTATGACACACGCATATACCACAGGGTAGCTCATTTTAGGCCACAAGACTCAAGGGTGGTGGAAAGATGATACCATGCCTCCTATTGAGGTACATTTTAAGGCATTTCCAATCTGGTAGGTGTAGACATGATTTTGGCAAATAGTCATATGGTGTCATGGAGCGTTCGTCCAGTATCCGATTGACACAAAATTTGGCAAGCTTTCATCTTTCATATGGACGGACTTAACTCTAGAACCATATGCCCAAACTCCTTTCAAAACCCCTACTTTCGAGGTTAAGGTCCGAGGCCCTAACCGACCCTTATCAAGTCTATCTTTGTCCCTCATATCGACATCGTTGTCTCCTTGCTTATGCCTCAACTTGGCTTCAATACACATGTCTTTGATGAGTTAGATGATGCACCATCCTCCTCGGTTGCACATAACACTCATCTATTTTGGCCCTTGCATGGCCGGATGGGCGCCTCTTTAGGGTCGGTTCTTTGCTTGTCGTTACATGAGGGTCACAACTTACTCTCTTTATAGCATAGTTGTGACACTAGGTACGAGTGGTGGACAATCATGAAACCATGAGTTGTGACTAGCTCTAAGGATGAATCCAATATATATTGGTTGTACTTCTACTTTTCGTGAATAGAGTGAATCTTTCTTTCAAAAGATTAAAGAAAAAAGGATCCATACCTCATCCTAGAATGATTTGGAAGATCCAAGAGACTGACGACCAATGATATTGGCGACAACGGCGGATAAAACAACAATGAACCACAAGCTACGAACCATGATTAGTGTTTCCAAAGCATAAATAATGAATGATTGACATAAATGAAGAACGCCACAAATAGACCTAGGAGAGATTGCCAACAGAAAGTAGTGGGCATGAACACCGATGACTAGGGGTATTTTTGTATGGTTAAGGTTTCAAGACCAAAATCGTGTAGTTTTTGAGAGAAGACAAAATTATCATTCACTTTTCTATTGGAACTAGTTATAGTTCAGCTACAATAAATAAAACGAATCTAACTAAAAAATAGAAGTAAAATTTAGTACTATTTCTTACCTGTTTAGGAAATGCTTCGGAAAGAGCCTGAATCACCGAATTGCGTGGCAGGAAGGAATCGGCTGAGGATACTTCACTACGGATACCATTGTCAGTGACTTTGACTACATTCCCTCCACAGTTAATCATGAGCCGACCACCAACCATCAGTCTATCTTTCAATTCCAACCACTTGCCAACCTATTATAAAAATGAAATGAAAAGATTCACTCCAATCATTAAACTGCTTGTAATACTCCGAAACCTTCATCCACAATCACAACCTTCTAATACTCAACTGACTACCCTACTACTTATGTCATCTTCCTAACAAACACATAGATGGGCCTCACAACACATCACGCACATGCTACACCAAAGCCCACCCTTCCCCCTCCTACGTGAATACATTTTAAGAACCGGGGGTCGATCCTAATAGTTGGAAAAACGTACAAGTAATAAATATATAAATATAAATCCATAAACCAGTAAAGGAAAAAATAAAAAAATAAATGATTGAACCAAATTTTTGGACAAAAGATCAGTAGGAAGAAAATTAGGCTATTCCAGCATATGCTAATGTATGGAGAAATAAATGAATCACCGGCGAGAAAATTATAAACCAGCCTCGGAAATAAAAAAAAAAATAGAACATCTATTCAAGGAACATCATTAGTACAGTTGCAATTCGGACACAGAAACTTAACACAAAAGCCATAATTACATGCACATGGTACATACCTGTTGCAACTGAGGCAAAATATCTCCATCAGAAAACAAGTCAATAACAATTCCTGAATATTATAAATACATATTAGCACAAAGGTGGAGAAAAGAGGAAAGAAGGGGGCAGTTTTCCCCTCTTGATTTGTCTTAGATTAAAAAAATATAATAAAAGAAAACTAAGATTTAGAATGTTTTCCCTAAATTTCCCCCTCCCTAAATTTTCAAAACAGAAAGATTTACCTATATAAAAAAATTCATGTACAATTTTTCCCCTCCCTATGAACATTTTCTGGCTCTATGCTTGTGTCAGCATAAATAAAACAAAAGTATAGCTTCTAGTTTCCTCTACAGAATAAAGAAGAAATTCGTTAATATAAAAAGATGTAATACAAAACTGAAATTGAAGAAGATTGTTATGAATCTAGTATGCGTAAGATTAATTCAATATTAAGTAGTCAAATATTCCTTGTAAAATTGTATTTTTTTAGCAGTAGCAACTATCAGCATGACTAAAGAATTTATGGCTAAGGAGAGGATTGAATTCTCAGGATCCCATGTAGCGAGGTGATGTTTGACTATTTAATGAGATGACAAAATATTGATGTAGTTTGACTCTCTTTGTTTCGGGATATTTTATGTTTTTATTGTTTTACAGAGGGTAAACTGATTTACTGAAGGGTATGGTCGTATTAGTTGGTTGGGCGTTTTGTTTTTAGACAAACTCAGTCTTTGGCTTTCCCTATATAAAGGAGCCATTTGTTGTGAGGTTCAGGATTGATCGTACTAATATTCTTCAAGAATTGGTTACACCAGAAGGAATATGCATTCATGCTTCAACTCCCATGGCGTGTTTGCACACCCATTATTGTGTAACAGTTCAAGTCCACCACTAGCATATATTGTCTGCTTCAGCCCATACGTATTGTCGTTTGCCTCACGATTTTAAAAAGCGTCTGCTAGAGAAAGATTTTCACACACTTATAAAGAATGTTTCCGTTTCCCTCTCCAACTGATGTGGGATCTCACAATCCACCCCCTTAGGGGCCTAGCATCCTTGCTGACACACCACTCAATTTTAGTTATAATACCATTTGTAACAGCCCAAGCCCACTGCTAGCAAATATTGTCCGCTTTGCCCATTACGTGTTGCCATCAACCTCACGATTTTAAAACGCGTCTGCTAGGGAGAGATTTTCACACTTGGGAGCAATGCTTTGTTCCTCTCTCACACATCCGTGAGAGAGGGGAAAGTGAGTGTTTCTAAAATGTTGCATTTGATCTTAATGATGAGGAATTAAATGTCTGCTGCCCAACCTCTTCATGGAACTCTTCTCTCCAGATAAAATTATGTTAAAAAACAATAAAATGAGGGAGAAACGATAGCATATATACTACATGTTTGTTACATAAGAACCTCGAAATGTAGAACTTTACCAGCATAACCCCCAGAGATTCTGGCCGATGGATCAAGGGCATCCCCGATGTGAATGTTAAGTATCCCACCATCATCAGAATGCTTCTCAAGATCAGATAGCCCGAAAAAGTCTCTTGCTTTATCAATTAGCTGGATTGTTAAGAAACAAACTGTTCAAGATGAAGTCACAGTGAAGACAGAAAGATAAATGTAGACATTCTAATTTTGACCGAAAAAAATAACTCAACTAAAACATAACTCAACTGGCTAAACTATTATAATTTTGACCGAAAGGTAAACATTTGGATCCCTATCCGTTCATACAATTGAACTCAAGAAAAATAAAATTATTATATAAGCAATTTCACACTAGGCAGCCAGAATCAGTATATTGTTTCAAATTGCCATTGACTAGAAATGGAGGAAACTAAAAAAATATCTCCAATCTAACAAAATAAGACCAAGTGAATAATTACAAAAAGATTTGGTCACAAAAACTATTGAACAAAATACAAGATCAAATCTCACACGAAGGTCTCTCAGGCCCCTTAAAATTCTATTGTCTGTCTCAACCATGTCCCAAATGACAGCACACACCCAACTTTGCGTTAGTTCCGGGTCCATTTTTGTTTGTCTTTTCTCCCCCTTGGGAAATAGTATCTCTCAACATTTTTCTTCCTTTTTTAAACAAGAGGCAAATCTTTATTGAATAGCTGAAAAGAGACTAATGCTCAAGTGGAAAATATGGTAATAGAGAAACACTTCTCTTTCAAATTTTAAATGAAAAACACCACTCTACTGAAGATGAATCTCTTTAACTTATGAAAAATTGTTCATCTCCATGCTATAATTATATCCAAATCTTTATTTTAATGATTTTTGGTGGTTTAAGATATCAACGCCAAATAGTAAACATGACTTAAGGATACCTATTCCCGTCTTTCCCGTGCATGAAACGACCCCAAAGGGGAAAGAAAATAATGGGAAGTCACATAGAAATAATCTATATTGTTTCTCAACTTCTGAATTTTCAGAGACTGATAGGTAAAGAAACCAAATATAGCTTACGATTCCATCAATCTCCCAACCTTCAAGCTGCAACGAGGGCCATGAAGCAAGCATCAAATGGGCAGTAGTCCCCCCTCCCTGTTTAAACAGTATAAAATTTCAGTCATGAAATCAGTAATTTGGTATAGAAAAGTTTCACATTTATTTTCGAAAGGTACGTCATTATTGAAGAATGAAGTGTTTTACCAATCCAAATATAGCAATTGGACCTTCTGGAATTATAGCTGGCAAGCTAGCAAACTCATCCTACATGATGCAGAAATACAGAGCCCTCCGTAGTAAGAATAAATTTATAATATAAAAAATAATGTAGAAAATGATTGGAAATTAACGTTTTTTTAGCTCAAAGAAATATAAATTAGGCATATAAAAAAATTATCGAATGTTGAAACAGAATCCTTTTGATTACTACAACACAAAAAATACAGAAGGATAAAGGGACTACATATTACTGATTTTACAATGATTTCATGTTGAAATAATTTTTTGGCTGATAGAATATTGAAGCTCATTTGGGGGTTTGAAAGAAAATTCCAACAACACTCGCATCCAAGAAAAAATGGAAACAAACGACACGACTTTAGACCGAATAGTAAGGAAGATTTGAAAGTGTGGCTGCTGGAAAATGATGGCTCTTCGTCATCAAATATTTCTCTCCTAAGCTTATTGTGAAGCAGGCAGTTTTGAATAACCAGAAATCGAATTATAGGTCAAGGTTTTCTTCAGAATCTTCTCTTTTGAGAGGCTGAATACTCGTTTCAGAATCCAAAGAATTCTTCAAAATTCCATCCTTTCTCCCAATTGGTGTGTTCTTTGTCAAAACAGTGGGAAATCGTTGATGCATATCTTCTTTTTGTGCCCATTTGCTGCTAGTTGTTGGGATAGGCTGTTTAGTTTGTTTAGTATTCAGTGGTGTTGGCCCAACAAAGCTTTGGATGCCCTCCAACTCATTGAAGGCCCTCATTTTAAAGCTCAGACGAAAATCCTTTGGTCCAATGGAGTTTTTCCCAACTGGAGACTTGGTTTGAAAGAAATTCCAGAACTTTTCATGGTCAAGAAATGAACGGGGATGTCTTGGGATTTGGCTACTCTTTTAAAGCTCAGATGAAAGTTCTCTGGTCCAATGGAGTCTTTCCCTCCTGGCTCTTAACTTTCTATCTCCACAAATCATAGTGAATATCTCCCAACTCGGATGCCAATTGTTAGTATTACACAACTCACACACTCAATCTAGAAAAAAAAATACGAAGAACAAGAGAGAAGACACGAATAGAAATATCGGCTAGAAGTTTATATTGATGACTTCTAGTATGTACAATCACAGATAATACAAAAAATACAGAAAGTACATCTTCAAAGCACTACCTAGAAGGATATATGGTTAAGTTTAGTATGCGTACCTTTGCTATTGTCAATACATAATCATTTACCATATATTGTCATTTACTATGACCATTTACCATGTATAGTAATTTATTATGATGTATAGCTATTGAGTAAAGAGAGAAAGAGCACCAAATTCAGCAGCCATGGAAAAATTGAAGAGGGACTCCAGACGATATAAAAAAATTAGAAAGGAACGGAAAGAGAAGGTTACAAAATTTATAGTTTCTTTTTAGTTGAAGATAATATCCTTTTACGTTCGTGCATCCGTATTGGTGAGGGAATAGAAGAGACCGAGTTTACTGACCCAGTAAGAACCTGTCCAAATCTGCTCCTTGTAAAGAATGCTGTGCACATTATCTGCGTCGACAATGGCGGCACAGTTTAGAAGGTCTGAATTCCCTTTTAGAGGATAAAAATTGAAGAGAAGGGAGAAACGAAAAGTAGTACTAGAAGAATCGAGAAGTAGCATTCTGGATTCGGGAGTGTCTACAATAACAATGTCATTGTAGTAGCTAGTTGTAGCGGTCAACACTTGAAATTCTTCTTTTTCTTCCACTCCTTCCTCAACGCTCCGGAAGCTGGGATCACCAGTGGCCCTTGTCAATTTTCCGACGGAGGAATATCGAAAATCGCTCTGAATTTTGGTGAAGTTTAGTGAACTACATAGGTAACGCCTACTTCGACATATATTTACAACTCCGAAACTCCATGGACGTGCGTAAATTTGAGGAGCAAGTGCGTACGCCATTTCCTTCCTGCTTTATCCGACTCTTGCTTTCACGTATATATTTAACCACAAATGCCGCAAAACTCAATTCTTTTTTTAATGATTAAACTCCCCCTCTCTCTCTTTTTTAATAATTAAACTAACTTAAAAAAAAAAATAAACTCTTAAAACATGCAATTTTTAGGACTAAGGTAAAACTATAACATTAAAAATAATAAAAATTATATTTTGTATTAATAAATTAGGTTGGGGGTTGAAATGTGTTATAAACATTTGTATCAATAAAGCTAAATTATTATTTCATAATGTTATTCTCTCTCCCCCATGTAAAAATAAAATTATGTAAAAAGTAAGAAATATAATTTATATGAAATTAGATATGAGGAAACAACGAAATAAATGTAAAAATATTTAAGATTTCCAAAATCCCAAAGGAGGCTAAGAATAGATATCTAGATTGATGTCCTCAACACAGTTCCATTAAACGTTACGCATCAAGACAGTTAGGAAGCTTACCCATCCATGTAATGCTTCCATTTGAAATAAAAATGTAGCAGTATTAGTAGTTATGGAAGGAAGTGGGAAAGAATGTCGCTCAATAAAACAGCTTGATCTTGAGTCTGACCCATCTTCCAGACCTTGAAATCTGGTGGAAAATAGTCGGCATCCTTCCAGTTCTTCAATGACGCAAGACAAAAGGGCCCTTGAACGTCCCCCTGAGGATCTAAATAATACCAAATCAAGCTTCTTAGTGTGCTATTCCAATCAAGCTCTTCACCCCTTGGTAGTTCGTCATCGTCGCTCAAATTTATCACTCGAGATTCTTTAATCTGCTCATTCGCTAGCCAGCCTTTATCCACCTCATTTATAAGTTCTGTCTCATTCAAGCTACTATTATACGTAGATTCTACTGGTTGTGGGGGCTGTTCTTCATCAAGAACACTTCGTCTACATTCTGCAACAATAACATAATAGAAAGCAATCAGTTCACATGTCATCTACCTAGTGTACTTCCAATATCAACATTTGGGTTTGAACCAAATATAATTTCTCTTCCAATATCAACTAGATGCGATATCAAGACCTTCACACAAAATTTCAGGCCGAATCATAAATAAAGATGACAAACCTGCAAATTCTTCCACGTTGGACATCGAAGCTGCAGTTCGATTTTCTGCAACATAAATATCAACATTCGGGTTTGAACCAAATACAGTTTCTCCTTGATTTGTATCATCTGAAACCTCCCTTCTCACCTGCAATTTGGTTTCATCTCCTTCATTAGTGACATTATCTCCTTGATTTGCACTACCATAAATGCCTTGAAATTCTGGTTCATCTGCAATCACTTGTGGAATCTCACGAAAAATGCGCGACTGTTCTTCTGCAGTCTGAAGGAGCAGCTTTTTCTCCAAATATTGGTCAAGCGTACATCAAGTCAGTTAAGGCTCATTTGTTTTGTTTTAGCCTTTTAGGCAATCTTACTTCCAAGAGTCACAAAGATTAGAAGCTACTGAATATGGTCTTTTTAGAAGCATGCTAGTCTAATGATAAGCACAATCTGGGATGATGATAATGATATACCAATACCAGAAGAAGGGGCAAAAAAGAAAAAAAAGCTCCAAAGTTGTATCAATAAAATTTCCAAATTACAGGTTCTAAAAATAATAAATCATTGAACTGAACTTTAAAAGATAATCCCATTCACCCAATCAATTCTCTTAGAGATCTATAACCTATAGCTCCAGGACTTTGGGAAGCAGTTTCTAATAATCTTGCGGTTATTTCTCAAATTTCTTAAACAGTTGCTCATTTCCAGTAAAGATGGCCTTCACCAGGGTAAATAAATTTAAAAAAACATGCTTCGTTGTTTAAGCCACTGTGGGGAAAATGCATGTTTGGGTCAATCAAGTGGCTCAAAATAGAAACAGAAATATAGCCATCAAGAAGCAACGTTCTATAGCTGGCACATGCATACTTTTGTAATCAGCTTACTAGAAAATAGGTTGTGACTATTACATAATGAGAAAAGACATTCTCTCATCATATAAAAATGTTGTCTAAAGAGAGGCAATGGGGAGGAACTGCATACGTTCTATAGCTGATACAGGCATATTTTTGTAATCAGCAAATTAGAAAATAGGTTGAGACTATTACATAATAAGAAGAGGCATGCTCTCATTATATAAACATGTTGTCTACCGACTCAATGAGGGGCAATGGGAAGGAAGTGCACATGTTATAACCACCATTAGAACCAACTAAAATTATTTTAGATACAGATAATTTACTACAATGTTAAATCGTATAAGCTTGATTCATGAAGAACTTCATATAATAAGATATACTCTTGAATTTTAAATGATTGATTGTTTGAGCAGAAAGAAACAATGCAGTTTAACATGACTGAAAATACAATTGAGAGGAGAAAGGGGATCATGCTATGATACGAAATTGATGTAAAGTAAAGAAGAAAGCTCATATTAGAGAATTAGAGAGGAAATAGGCATTAACATCCATTGCAAACTATTGATAAGTTGGCTTGACGAGCTCAAATGTGAGGAAGCAGGAGCAATAAACAACAAATCTCTCCTATCGATCAACAATAATAATTATCTAATTATAGCAGCAATTGAAAAAAAATAACACTTGTGTATTTACTATTATCTAATTATAGCAGCAATTGAAAAAAAATAACACTTGTGATACAGTAAATACGACAGCATCTGCTAGCTAAAGTGAGTTTGACTCATAGTAATGAAATGTATAATTTTCATTACATCAATAAAAAGTTCTCAGATTCTTGTTTCAGTGCAGAAGTTTGTTGTTGTTGTTAATTTTTTTTGTATCTCTTCTATTATTGTTTCCTTCTTTGTCATGCTTCGCTTTCATCCTTATATTCCTTGTTACCGTTAGGTTATTACCTGTTTTAGCTCCTTTTTTCCTTTAATAGCTGTACATTCGTATGAAATATATGAGAAATATCCTACTCTAGCAAACACAACATACAATAAAAAGAAATTACAAAAGGATATTCCTTGCGCCACCCCTTTTCATTCGCCTGATCAATGAGGTTTTGCAGCAAAGAAATTTCTCTCGAAAGCCACTGAAACAGAAACATAGCACTGAGTTGACAGACCAAGTCACCAAAACAAAGATGTGCAAATCCTTCCCATCAGATGAGCATGAATTCGGCGCAGTAAAGAAATCGAAATACTCCATCAGATGAGCATGATGGTTGGCATGAACAAACTTTTGCATACCACTACAGATGCATATATATACCATAGCGTGCTTTCGAGATTTAATGGACTTTAGTAATAACCATATGCAGTCTACTCTTCACATTTCAAGACTTAATATCTGAATGTAGCCTTCTGACATAAACATCCATAAATTTTTCATGACTGAAAGCTAATTACTATTTTGACCTTCATAACTTTGTGTTATATATACTCGTCTACCTTTTGATATCATTCGATATATTGAACGTTCACTGATAAATAAATTTTTAAATAACAAAAACTGCTAGAGGGAATAAAACTAAAGAAAAATGCAAGGCAGCCTGCCTTGTGAGCAATGAAAAAATTTGGAGTTATCATCATACGTACATGCTTGGTAATATCCACATGCAAGGCCTCAACTTTTTGTTGAACCTCTGCCTACCAAAAAGAAAAATGAGCACATGTAAATAGGAGAAATGATCTACAACTGGTAAGAGAGAAATAAAGAGGTTCTCCACACTAGATTTGGGAACACATTGACGTATCCATAAATGCAACCAGAAGAAGATAGAGACGAACTTCATATTAACAGTAAACATCAATGCTTTTACAACATTCACATGTTGGAGACCTTGACAAGAATTTAAGTTGTACAAGAGTTGTCGGTAATAAGTTCGAAAACGTAGCAAAAATTTTAAAATGCTTGACAGAATCAATAACACGAGTATGCCACCCACCATTTGAGAAAAATGCATTTCTTTTACACTAAAGATGATCAGTTGCTCATATCCTTCTCCAATAGTAATAACCATTAGCTTTTAGACCCCCTCAAATTGTCTGGTCAGGAAATTGATCATAGCTCAACTGGATCACCAAATACTTTTATAGCATGGAGGAAGTTCTTTTGAATCCTCCCTGGTTATAAGGTCAGAATCCAATGGCATTCTTGTTTTGTTGTTTTGTGGAGCAGCTGGCTGGAGAGGAAATGTAGAAACTTTCAAGAATGTGAGAGGTCCTCGGAAGAGGTGTGGAATATTGTTGATTTACCATCTCTTTATGCGCAACAATTTCTTAAATTTTTGTAATAATCAGTTAGTTCTTATTCTTTCGGATTGAATTCTATTCCTGTGTAAGGAAGGATTGGACTCCTTCTATAGGGCTGGTCTTTTATGTCCCTTCCCGTTTTATTTTTATTTTTATTATTAAAAGCTTGTGAAAAAATGTGTTCATGAATAAGTCATGTTTGAAGAAAACATCATAAATTCTTCATTATGACTCTGGGGAGTTAATCTTTAGTTAAATTATACAAAATACCCTTGATTGGGGGAGTTAATCTTTGATTAAATTATGCAAAATACCCCTGAAGACTCTCACTTATAAAAATTGATCTCGGTGATGGCAGCAATTAAGGCTCCAAATGAAACTTAACGGCAGCTATGAAGGCTTCAAAAGAAAATTGATCACGATGGATGATTGTCAATGATAAAGGATTCACATATTGAGTAAGGGTTTTGGTTATAATCAGATTTTCCCGAATAGAAAAGCTCTGGTACCATATTGCAAATTATCTTGCTATTCTTCCTATTTAATTTTTTTTAGGTACATGTGTCATTTATAATACAAAAAGGCTAACTAAATCCATAGATATTAGGTAATAATAAATCCGTAACAATAAATCTTAAATCTAGATAAATTCTTAGATGTTAGGTAACAATAAAGATAAATTCACTACTTTTCTTATTTAATGGAATTCCACGAATATATCCCAACTCAAGTTAATCCTCCGACAATTATCATATTGAAATTAGCAATAAAGAACTAATTTTGTCAAGTTAGAGA